TTCGGCCAGCACACGCATCAAAAGATCTGTCATCGCTAGAGGAGATGGTTGCAATGCTCCTGGCAGCAAACAGAGCCAGAAAGTTGTCTCTGATCGGCATTTTAAAGCACTAAGAAACTCAGGAAGAAATAAATGCAGAAACACAGGCAGAAACGCTCGCAGTCGGAAACGCACGCAGAAACGCACGCAGATATGCCCATATGCCACCGCTGTACGAATCCCCCTCGCAAGGCAAGATGTAGATACATGTTTAGTGTTCTATAAGCGTACATGTCCAGCGTAATTGAAGCTCCGTCTGGTACTGGGTTGGATCTTCTCTTTACCCTCGCTTGGCGTTTGCGTATGTTTCTACCGTTTCTCGATGTGTCCCTAATGATATTACGGACTGTCGCAACGTATGAGAGATGCATTGCTTTTGGTAGCATTAGGAATGTGGAGGAGACATGGCTTTCTCGTGTCGGGACCGAGCCTAGGGGGGCTGGGAGGATGAAAGGGCGAGGTTGAAGCATTTACTATTGGGGTCACTGTTGAAGGATATGATGACACATTGAGGGTAAGCTCATAAGGATCGTGTACCTATTAAAAATGAGAAAAGATAGATGAATACACGGCTTGATGCACATACATTGCAGTCTAGCATAGCTATGGGATCTTGAAATCCTACATTATGGTGAGTACAAAGGTATCAACGCTATCTCGCCATTCGGAACCCCCACAGCGACTTATTGTGGACAACAGACTGCGAAACGGTCCATGCCTCGCATTGTTGGCCCTTCCTGCGTCACTTTCACGCCCAGCTGCGTTGTAGCTAGGTCGACCAGAGAAATCAACACTCACCACGTCACGTCGCTTGCGCCCAGCTCCGCACCTCTTATATTATCGCGGCAAAAATGACAGCGCGAATTTTTAGTTTGTGGCTCAGGGGGCCATGCGAGTATCCTCATCGCAAATAACCCCTATAATCATCACGACAATGTAAGAACTAAACTATTTTAGCTGTGATATCTAAGCGGGATTACAATGTGCATCTATCGGTGATAAGCCCTAGAATAAATGCGTGAGAAATCGGCGTAGTTACACATCTCCGAGTCTAATAGACGCGACGCAGACTGTTACTATGTAGTGTCGACTATTAGAGACTCCCTGTGTGTGGCATGAGCTGTTAGGTCAATCTAGAAACGTTTAGGCTATCTCTTCTTCGTAAGGATCTCTTATAACGGGGTCTGTTCGTCGTTCGGTGTATCGACCCGAACGCAAACCTAAACTCCTGCGCCGCTTCTTGGGACTGGACTTGGACTTCTTTGGCTGTGGGCTGAGCAGTGGTGGCAGCGCCTCTACTGTGACAGGCATTAGCCTAGCCATCCTTTTAAAGACCCACGAATATCCAAATATGCGACGAGACTTTCGCTTCCTGTCTCGCCGATGTGGAACTTGTTTTCGAGTGCTAGGGAGCCGTGTAAGGTTCGTAGAGATCTGTATCTATTAAACATGGTGAAGTACTAGACATTAACACGTCATATCCAGAGCGTGCAGGAGGTGGCAATAGGAGATATTTACTTAAAGATTCTTAAGAAGACTCTCCGTATTCTTGATGGTCGACACCATGTATAGCTTTAGAGCTAGAACGGCAATAACGTCGCCCACGGCCAGGTTCTAAGGGTTGGCGCCGCAGGCCTCGCCGTAAATGACGATACTTCCCACTACCGGCGCGGTAGGTTCCTTGCCATCTTCTGGTGTGGGAAACAGCATCGCCTGTAGATGGTAAGGAGACTAGGATCCGCTGTTGTAAAGGCCCTCTGTGTATTCGATATTTGACGGGTCTTCTTTACAACATTGTTTCTTGTTAAATCATGTTCACGGCGCTCGACAGCCATGTTTTGGTGTTAACCTGGAGGTTGACGGCGAAAGAATATCTCAGCATCGAAAATTTGAGGCATTCGGCACCATGGCTATGTCCCATGATGTCCCCGAAGTGGCTGTCGATGCCGCTTGTAGATGGATCGTTGGGAAATTCTAAGGACTTCTAGATAACCCACGAGGCTTTTTCAAGGACGGATCTACTATTGGAAATTTTGTGTTCAAACCTGTGGCACAGATTAGCGAGGTTGGTCAAGGCTTACTAGACTTTGTCCCTGGCTGTGTAGATCGACTTAAAGGTTATACTTATAGCTCTAATTAGAGGTTTTAGTAGGCTTATTAGAGCTGGAGTGGACGCTGTTAACTCGTTGGGGTGCGGACATTTTCGTGGTGTGAAGGCACAGAGCTGGATTCTAAGAGTTTCCAGTGTTATGCTTCTTAACGATACGAGGTATAGTTCTAACGTTACTAGATTAACAGAAGATGAAGCTGGCAAAGAAGACGATCGGACATGTGCGTATGTTTGTGAGTAAGGATAGGGGAGTCAGGCTAGAGCAAGCCAAACTGCGCCCTCTCCACCCTCCCACTCCCAAGAGGCAAGTAGATATCAAAACAGAGGGTCCCCTTGTCTCCTCGTGGTTGGACGTGGTTATTGGACTATGCGTTGTGCGAAAAATATATGCATATATAGAGTGCACGTTGTGTACCGTACCATTGTGAAAACCAGCAACGGGACTTACCATTGATTGGATATTAGACTTTTATATCTTGCTTGACATACTAGCTGAGTTGTAAGTGAGGTGGTGTCCAGTATTTTAGCCGAGTTACTGTCACATATTCAGCTTCAGACAGCTTGAGGCAACTTGAGACCAGCTGTGCAGGGCAAGTTGTCGTCTAAGAGAGCAGAAAATCATGTAGCACCAAAACCACATCTCTGGGCCTGGAAAGATGGAATCGATGACCTTTGTCACGCCTTGCTCATCTTCAGCGTACATAACACCGTCCGCTGAGTTTTCCTGTCTTTACTATTATTGTATCGCCTACATAGGAGGGCAAATTCCTGTCTGAGATGTCTGCTCCTATCCGCTAAAAGCGCGCCGTGAACAGTTTTAATTACGCTATACTCGAAAACACCAAGGAGTGTTCTAAGAAATAAGACAAACACGCAGTTAAAAAAACAATGCGCTAACGATAGCATTATGATTCACTTACCTTCAATCAATCAACTATCTTACTAGCCATCTATTTCAAAGGTCTATAGGTAACAGTCTAACACCGCAAAGGCGTCGATATTTGTGTGTATCTATTGGGTTGGGGCTATGCCTTAGGAGGGCCACCATCCATCAGTTTCCGTGAGTGGATAGATACAATTACAGAAGAAACGTAACATGCTGTTACACCACAGTTGCAGGGGCCTGAGTATCGCGCAGAGGCCTAGGCTAGCCAGCCTGACGACGTTGCCACTGAAATGACCGAATTTCCTCACAAGGCTGTGTACCTAACAGCCTGCGCCTTGAGCGATAAATTCGCAATATCACCGAATTGAACATGTTGGGCTTATCCCGGCGAGATCGCCAGCCATGGGGTCTTTGGAGACTATGATGGTTGATGAGTAAAATGCCGTGATACGGGGGAAGCAGCCTTGTGAAGAATCTTGTACTGTTCTCAGGACTGGTAGATGGGATGAATCAGTTTATGCTCGAGGCCTTGAAAACGACTTGACAGTTTCCAGCCATTGCGTGGATATGAAGATGATGCGGTCATAAGGTAGTGGTGAGGAGCAAGCCACCAGGCCTGTCTTTAGGTGCTTGTAACCAGTATAGCTAACTGATTGGCGGAGAATCCTGCATGCATTTGCAAAAAACTAATCTTGCATGTTGATACACGTCGACGCAAATGGACACCTGGACAAGCGTGGATAATTCTAGAGATCTGGGAGCTTCCATGGCATCTCCACGCGCATCACGGCTCAGCCGGAGTCCCTTGCTAGTATTGTTCATGCACTGCGGTACAACGTGAAAGAGGTGTTGAGGTGCACGGTGTTTATCCATGTCGGGGAATCGACGTTCTTTGTCTTTGACACACATGCCCGCTATGTCCAGCATGTAAAAATTTGAACTTGCCCTCTAGCTACTCTGCTTCCTTGTCCTTATCTGCAACGTTGCATCTAAACACGATCTTGTCGAGCTCTGCCCAGTCGTTACCGCGATCGTCAAGCCTGTGCTCAGCCTCCTCTATCCTAGTATAAGTATAATACCCTATTTCGCGAGCGGATAATACAATCAATAGAAACTATGCAGTTAGCGTGTGTATCTATTGCCGGCGCAAATGTCGGTGCGCTTCCGAGCGCAGAAATTGGGCACCACGGCAGCCATGGTAGATATAGTGAAGCAAAACGGGCTGCACTAGTAGACTACCCACGAATGATGCACGAGAAGCTTAACACGGGTCCTAGAATATCACACAATACGCCATGCCTTTAACTTAAGCCATGACACAATACGACTCTCATTCTTTCCCAGACATATGTGTAGATCGCTTCTATTCTATTTTGATTTCATACATGCTAGATTCGGGCGCTCGGTTCTTCCAATACGGGTGCTATGCCCTACACACGTAGCACCAAATCCGTCACAAGGAGTCTCACGCTAGAGACCTATCCTTGAAGACTTTACAGGTTCGTATCGCATACATTGTTCTTCATAACCACTCTCTCGCCTACATAGCCGCAAAGTCAGTGCCAGCCGCCATTAGTACCAGTTGCTTCGTCTCTAGCCTCTGGAGTTTATACTCTCTAGGTTACTCTAGCATCGCGATTCCAGCCAGACTTCGGCATATACGATCTTCCAAAGAGTTCGTAGTTTCCCTTGTGACGATGACGGGGGACTCTGCTACGCGACATATACTTCAAATATCTTTTTGTTTGAGCATTTAAACGTGCAGGACAGGTGAGATTGGTGCGGTTCTAGTCATAGGTCGATCTAGAGGCTGTTAAACACAAAGTTTAGAACTCGAATGAATGCGGATAGGTTCTAGAAAGAGCTATAGCAAGCGAAAGCTGAGCTTGCATGGATTCAGGCTGATTTCAAGTATGACGCGATACCGAGCATGCGAAATATGGTATAATACTTACTAAATCGCAGAGAAAGCACGACACATAGCTCCAGCATATGCAAGAGAGCAAGACGAAGTCCGAGGTGAAGCTACGGCGCGTCAGTGTCTCATTTACGAATCTCGAGGCCAAGTACGTGCAGCCTCATGACATAGCAGGATTTCGCTTGAAGGGTTAGAAGTTATTTGCGCGAGCCGTAAGATGCCCATATACATGGAGTGATGGTTATAGATATCACGGAGGTAAAAAGTTGTAGATTAGACGCATTTGTACATATATTTTGAGCTTGGATTACCTACCAAACGACGTGGCTAGCATGATGTCATACGCTGCGTCCCGCTTGCTGGCTGAACTTCACACCATAAACGCCGTACTAATCCTCAAAACTGGTTTCATATAATCAATGCCAGCAAGTACAAAACCATTAGGCGGTAGTCTTTCGCTTCTTTGGGGGATCGCTAGTATCTCGCGGCGGCGTGGGCACCATAATCTCCGGTTTTTGTCCGGGCAGAGATGCGACACTAGACCCCGTATTCACTGATTGCGTTGCAGAGACCGATGAAGTAGAGTCTTCATTGACACGCAAATTTGTGAGCGCGAGTCGAATGTCATCAAGCCGGGTGGTTCTTCCCCATTCAACGATGTTTCGCAGAACTCTCCTGTACTTCTGGACACCGTCTTCATCAGAGAGGTACGTCCTTAGTATTGGCTCCATGTGATACGCATCACCGCCAGCACATTCTGAATGTTCACGCCATATGACGTAGACCTCGAGTGAGAACATGTTGCAAACAACGCTAAAGTGGCATGTTCGTACTGGTGACGTGTCATAACAAGCTTTCTCATAGAAGGTATGCAGATGGCGTATAATTGTTGGTCCATCTCGCGCACTCTGGATGCGGGCGTATGAAAGACCCTCTCCTTGAGATGTCTTCCATTGTGCGGTAATGAAGGGGAAAAGTAGTTGGTTGGCCAGGAAAAGCTTTCGACCGTCCAGAAGCGCTTCATCGCCATTCTTGAATGCAGAATCAATGCCTGAATACTCTGCTTCCAGTGCAGTCACATAGCCCAACGCATCATCTGGCTGTGGCTGGGCGAGGGCACCGTAAGCGTCCTTGTATGTTTGTTCAAGTGCATTCGGTAAAAAGGATCGCGCTAAGTTATTTTTCGGTTTGCTAACAAGATAGCGGTAACCATTCTCTCTGTCATTTGCCTCTCCCGCGATCCACAAGTATGGCCTGGCCAGATCAATTCCTGCTTGTTCGTTGCAGAGCAGCATAAGCTGCCGATGTCTGTCGGCGACCTTTTGCGGGGTTGTGCTGCCGAGTCCCAGGTCGTTCTCTTTTATGCCCGCGATGAATTGTTTTAGATCTTGCGGCATTGGCTTCCCAGTGTCAACAGATATACCGTAACCATTGAGTTTTTTAAGGAATTGATGTGGTTGTATCAGGCTACGTCCGGACGACGTCGACTTCGTTGGAGAACCTGGCATTGGTGCTATACTACCATTTATCTCCGCCAGACGTCGAAGATTAGAATAGGTAAGCGGAAGTGAGACCGAGGGCTCGACGGAGGGTGAAGGTTCGGGCGAAGGGATTCTAGCTGAGACCGACCTATAGCGACAGTTAAGACTGGGATATAGTTAAAGAGAGTGAGAGACGAACGTGTAGGAGGCCCTCCTTCTCTTTGATGCTGGAATGTCGGAGGCCAAGCATCCGTCGTCGCGAGCGCGCTTTGGAAGCATTCACGTGTGGATTCAAATCTCAATATCGTAAGCTTTTCATTAGCGTAACGTAGAGAATTGCAGCAGCAAAGAGAGTATGCGCACGTCCTGCACAGACAATTATAATGTAATGCGCAAGTAAATCAATGATGATGGATGTGATCCAATGTGGTTGCTTGGTGGACGGGTTGATGCTGGGCGGAGACTACTCCGCTCGACGGCCGGAGTTTAGCCAGTGAGTGCCCCAAACGCTGACCTTATTAGATCCTTTTACTCTTAAGGTTACAAGTCGAGACAGGTCAAGTCACAGGATACAGACAAACACTGCTAACGGAACACGATGCTCTCGATCGAAGTCATGATACACTGTATGAACTCCTCCATTACCTTCCACTTGGGCATATTACAATATCTGACACAGAATAGCGATTAAAGCATACTCGTTGGAAATGTAGTACAATCGTGAGCCTCTTTACAGCTGTGTTACAATAAAATCGAATTATATAATAATAAATGGATCTGATGAACAAGGCCATTGAACTGAGGCCGCAAGCCTATCGAATTCAAGAACGGCTTTGATCTCCGGATAGGACGTACAGTCAGCCTACTAGAATAAGAGATGTGCATTCACAGTCTTACTTTCGAGCTGGCTACCCTTTCTGAACCTTCTTCACAAGCAGCGCCCTTGACTCAAGCCGTTTTAACCTCCAGAATCATACACGAATGAACCACCGGCAAGCTCATTGCGCTGGAAAGGACTTCGATTCGCTGCGCAGAGAATATTTTGGAGGATTTCAGTATACCATTGGCTTTGCCCCTATCTATAGTTACTCTCGTTTGTGGAAGGGACACCATCAGCTTATTAAAAGATTCTCCTATCCAAGGGATGTGAGTTATTCACTATAGAAGAACAGAGTAGACAAGACAGTCTCTAAGACACCGTAGCACTGATAAGCTTAGGCTGGTAATAATACGCCACGACCTACTACCATTCTGTATGCTCGAGGAAGTCCATCGAAGGTGCACATAGTAGAGAGATTGCTTAGTAGTAATCTATAAAATGTGCAAATTTAGACGAGGCTATACATTTCTTCTTGCGGAAGATATGAAGAAGAGTGTGTACCGATCTACCTTAGCTTAAATACCACCCTGAAGAATGTGTATAGAAAGCTTAGTTGAGATACTATCGCCGTTAGTGCACTTGTTATCAAAGTCTTCAAACCACAATAGATGTCTTGAAGCGTCGCAATATCGAGAATCTGGAAATCTAACCGGGCTAATCACGAGGGAGCGACGTGACGTTGGAAGAATTCACGACGCGCCCTAGTGTATCTACTATAATCTTGCTAGCACATAGACCCTCGTAATTTAGCAGCGAGTCGAGTATAAAGTCAAGTATGAATGACGTTCTTCGATTATATGGCGCTCAAGGCAATTTCTTAGTCGTCCATTTAGACATAACTTTGAAAACGAGCACGTTGGAACAACGTTTAACAGTGGGCTTCGCTACCCATTCTCCCATAGGTTCATCTTCCAAATCACGTCTTCGTATATGGGTTCCCTGACGGTTGGATCTTGGCTCCTGAAATGGTAAAAAAATCATCAAATTCATGGTTACGGAGGCGATGATCACTGGCCACTTCGTCTATAAGCCAACGATCAATGCCACGAAGGGGCATGTACTGCAATTCTAGGGTCGCTACGAGCTACAAGAATAGAGTCAGGGCATCACATCGTAACGACCATAATCAAATTGGAGACTGCGCACTGATTTTTTCCGTGTAGCTTAGGATAGTAAGTATCTACACTGTATATACTTTGAACACGTTCTCTCCGTCGTGCGATCATATATTTATTAACGTTCTAGCTATTACTATTAACACTCTTCCGGCATAAGGTTACGAGCATGAACCCCTATAAGCTTATGGTTCTATCTAAGTTTATACTAATTATAATATAAAGATACTAACCCGGATTTAGAGTCGCCTTCTAATATTATTATCTAGTCCCTTTAGAGATCTATATACTATTTACTACTAATTAGAATACTACCTATAGCTATAAATTCTACTTTACTACTACGATGTAGTTGTTCCACTTCCTATCCACTTCCTATCTACTTCCTGTCCACTTCCTGTCTACTTTCTATCCACTTCCTATCCACTTCCTATCCACTTTCTATCCACTTTCTATCCACTTTCTATCTACTTTCTATCCACTTTCTATCTACTTCCTATTCTTTTTCTATCCGCTTCCTATCTATTCTATATCTACTTTCTATCTATATCTAAGCTACCTTATGGCCTAGTAAGAGAATATTCTTCTTAAGTATATTAATTATAATATAACTATAGCTAGAGACATGTCTATATAGATCTATAGATACGGCCTTCTATAATAGATTATATAAGGTCTATTATTAATAAGACGTATATAATATCTTAACCTTTAGTATTAGAATAGATACTATAATAGACCTAACTAGATTACTCTAGTCTAGTACGGTCCTATAATAGATAGACCTAGACTAAGTTAGCTAGATTAAGTAAGACTACTATATAAGTAAACTATATAAATCTAATTCCTACTTCTTAGGAATTAACCTCGTTATAAGAGTAGACTACCCTTTAAATATATTCTTATAACCCTTCTATAACTTATTAGACTACTATTCTACGTCTATAATTCTTATATTTAGACTATAGTACTAGAATCTAATAGAGTTTCTTAGTCTATTATAGCTTAATAAAGAATAAAGAAGCGAATATACATGTAAATGTTCTAGAGATCTATGCGTCTACTAACTGGTTTCTTCTTGAGATTATTGATATTCTCGCTAGAGAGGTATCTACGTAACTTAAGACACTGCGTTTATATAGCGTGTGGTACTAGGCTAACCAAATTGACGTGTGTCATTATAAGACAGGCCAAAGAAATCCCATCTTCCATCATTCATTCCCCAAGGTTCGAATCTACTATACATCTTTAAGCTCACTGCTCGAACGCTATTCTCTTCGGAGGTTTAAGCAGTAGTTTAGCATTCCGCTCTGCAGGTTCTAATCCAAACCGAGGGGCAGAACGGCTTCGAAAGACTGATAGTACGACCACATTACCTCCTCGGACACCGAATTTGGCGCAGCAAGTAACACAGCCTCTGCGTGCAGCCCAAAGAATTCATCAGTGACATATCCCACCCCTAGGACATTCGTCCACGATCCAAATTACAATTTGTGTAGTATCTAGGAGCTGGTGCTCCTCCGTTTGGCTACGAAGGACATCTACGAGCTCCCTCGTCGACAACGTAACTTGAGTTCAATGTTCAGCGCCGATCAAAATCGTGCTCAGTTGCCAGCCTAACTGAGAACGTTTCTGTCTTCAGAAGGGAGCGTGGTGCTGGTTGAATGAGGAGAATGTCTCGCACCTGGCCAGGTTGACATGCTTCCGTAGAAGCCCTGGCCAACCAGAAGCATTCGCATGTGATATGTCTGGGCGTCCAATATATAGCCGTGCCATTGGTCGTCAACGCCCAATCTCTTGTCTTAATGCATTTCGAAGAAGAAATAGCCCTATTGTGAGTAGTCAGAGGAACACAGCTAGCACGGAGGCGCCGTGTCCACGAGAGCTGAACTCAGCGCGTCAACCACTCCCAGACGTATATTTACCACTGCCACTGATTCCATGACAGAGGTAAGACGTATATTCTGCGCCTGCACAACCAACCACGCAAGTCAGGCGTTTGCATCTGTTTGACTTGGTGGCAGTAAAGTTACAGGACCATCACTGCGTTGCCAGAAACCGACAGGACCATGCCTGGTCTTGTTTATATCAGTGGTGAAAACCCAACCGCTGCCCGCACACTGATTATAGTACCTGCTCTAAGCCTCGGCTTTCACTTGTCACAAATGTGACGCGAGGCTTCTATTGATTGTGTTGGCATGCTGGATGACATGTTATGGTATGCTTTTGGGGAGCCTAACGTTCAAGTCCTGAATCAAGGCGGTGATTACCGTCGCTTGAACCTCAAGATCTTCCGCCTCAGATATGACCTCAAGACATCCGTTCATGTATGTCTTTGCTGGCAGTCTCAGTCACTATCGTAAGGTGTATTCGGATTCGCCATGCACGACACGTCCAATTCCCTCAAAAATCGCGGGTGCGATGTACATGGCTGAGTTGCTGGTGACGGTGGCTGCGGCTTTCATAGATGCTATCGAGAGCTTGTTTGCGATGGCTGACCTGGCCTGCTTCTTGTCAACTCCCCTGATTGAGACTGGAGACGATAATCATCTGCGACAATGCCTAGATCCACAGTGTGCTACAGGAGCACTGCACGAGATTGTAACAGCACGTGGATGTGTATGGCCTTGACCGACTCGCTAGGCTCGATCGATTCGCTAGGCTTGACCAATTCGCAAGGCTTTACCGATTCGCAAGGCTTTTGACCGATTCATAGGCGTGACCGTGATGAAGATTCAGAAGATATACTTGAGCACCAATTGCTCCACTGACCTGAGCGCGATCTCGAAGTCCCTAATAGCTATGAAGAAGAAGTCAGTACAAAGACGGTGGCACCGAATTTACTGGCTGTTTCGAGATACTTTACGACCGGCTCATTTAACGAGCTCGGCAGGGTCAGCAGCAGGTGAAGTGTCATATTCCCTCGCAAAGGTATGCACAAAGAGAATCACTTTCGCGGCCTATCAATACCTTATGAAGACGATACTTGTTGCGAAGTGGCGCGGGTCCGGCGTCACTCACGACGACGTCGCTCCATATTTGAGCAACCATCGTGCACGCAAGAGGAACGCCGTCATACAGAGGGTCGTCGATATAAGGGGAGCGAGGGGATGGTATGGGACAGTGATACCAAGGGGCTTCGCACTGGAGAAGAAGACTCTGTGCCGATGGCGGAGTTCATCATGGCCAAGGTTCGGACCATTGTTAAAATTTCGTACACATGCGAGCGCATGAACATTAAGCTGATCGATATGCTTTCAAGAATGTAAGGAGGAGGGATACCGGTTGACCCAACTAAGCGTACGAAGACAAGTTCGAGTGAAATATATACTTAGACGTTTCAAAACCGGGTTTCGTCTATGCGTCTCGGTAGGCAATCGCGTCATGGTTGGAAGTAGAGGTCGGAATTTACTTCTTCACATAGTTATATCAGGCTTACTCTATCGATCTAACAAGCCCATTTAGAGAATGTTCGGACCTTGTGCCCGTTTGTCGCTGATGACTTCCTCCTTGCGTCGTCATTGTCTAGTGGACGTTAGTACCCAACAAACAAGTTTTATCTACATTCTCCCTTGGTCGCCGAATATACTTCTTAATGAAACGGACGCACTTTGCTGTCACGCCTAGCGCTCTACTGCCTATGGAGGCCACTGCAAAATCCGCTTCGTGCCTCTTTCTGCATGCATAGTACGTGCAAGATTATCGACCCTTGCGCGTCGACGGAACCTCCACTTCTAGAAACGTGCACTCGATATTAACCAGATACGACCGCACGAAGACAAGCCCTTTCGTTGTTGGCGTACCTAAAGGATGTTACACGTCTACTACGCCGAGCCAACTTGTGAAGCCTGTATCGTGCTTCTTGTCTCTTCTTCTCATGTAGCCGAGGGTAGTAACATCAACGACCTCGCATCCTGCCGTATGCTCAGCGCTCGCTCCCGTGCAACTCCGAAAACGGTCAGTCATGTCGTGGACGAAGCACCGAAATGCGTGCTCTTCATTCATGGCTGTGAGTACGGGCAATTACGTCTCCGATCAGGTCATTATTCGGACGTGCGGAGTGGATGGAGGCATGCGAATGATACCGTAAGTTGTGGCTGTGTTGTGTGTCATTAATGACTGGTTGTGTTTCTTGAGGTTCTTGAAGCCGTATGTATACGAGAGGCAAGACCATGATCAAGTAAAGAGATATAAATAGGTATCGAGTAAGCAGCAACGTGAGAGGGAGATGGGATAGAGGCTGTAGTAGCTAATACACATGTAGTAGAAGGGTTGTGTGCAATGTTCTAAAGTAGATTGTTTAAGCGTACCCGTCCCACGCACTTCGGAGTTGTAACCTGAATTAGTAGGAGTCGAGTGAACGCAAGTGCTATAGAGCTCTGACGCCAAGGCACTAGTCACTAGGGCGACCACCTCTCCTCCATCCATTTGTTGCACACCTCTGCTCCAGCTGCCGGCCACCTCTTTCTCTACGTTGCGGCCATCGACAGCTTTTGTTTGCTTATTCGCTTCGTTTATCAGCACCAACCTACGTTCCGATCCACACCTGTCCACCTATAGGCATAGGCATGCAGCCATTTTCTCCATGCCTACAGTGTCTAGTATAGAGCCTCCTGATCCTGAATTTTACCTCGTACGACCGCACCACTGGACCAAAGAGTCTCTCCTCCTCGGCTTCCAGCTCGACGAGATCCTGTGGGAGAACCATTACCTCAAGATCGGCAAGCAATTCCTGCAAGGCACGACTGAGGAACAGCTGCAAGAGAACTTCTACCAGCTGCTACCGGAGGCCGTCAAGAATGGCGACGATCACATCAGGGAGAATTGGCTACGCGCCGGCATCCGCGTGCATGTGAAGAGGATCATGAAGAAACCTAAAAAGTCATTCACCCGCGCAAAGAACTCGAAGGTACGTAACTACTGCAGGCGTGCTGATTGTCAAGTCACTAATTCACATATCTACGGTAGATATCCGGCTCTGCTCGGGCGACTTCGTCGCCCAATTCTCGTTCACCTTCCCCACAGCCTCGCCGACATGCCACCAGAGGTAACACTCGTAATAACACAGCTCCTCCAGATCCAACGATCAGTACATCCTTCCACAAACGCATCCAAGCTTGCGCCAGTGCCGCTCGCGCGCGAAAATCCAACTCCTCTGCACCTCGAGCCCGCCGTCACGTTGACCGTGCGAGTTCACCCGAAGTCTCTCGCCGTCAACACGCTCCCACCCTCGACGACATACGCGAAGAAACGGACATACTCGACTCGGAACTTGGCAAGTCTCGCGCCTACCAGTCTAAAGGGCCATACCTGTCAAGCGACGAAGACGTATCCTACGAGAGTTCATCCAGCGACGACGAATCGTTAGACGGAGAGGATACGCGGTCTAAGTGTGAAGAATTGTCTAAAGAGCTTGAGCTGAATAACATTGAAGAGGATTCGGCATTGGAACTGACTGATTTGGGTGGCGGAGAAGAAGATACGGGTGTCGAATTGCCTGATTTCGGCGGCGGTCATGAGGACAACGGTAGCGGACTCGCGAATTCATTTGAGCCGGAAGACCCGTTAGAGCCTCATTGTGTAGAGCGAAACGAGAACAGCCACTCGGCAGCCAATGGTGCCACAACTGCACCTGCCCAAAACCCTTCGAACGCATGTGTCATCGACCCAATGGCTGGCGTCAATCATCATAAACGCAAGAGGTCTGACGCTTCGGCGCCGGATAGCAGTAGAGATCCACCACGCAAGAGACTTCAGTCCGGCTTGCGTAATGAGACCACTGCCCCACACTCAGAGACAGATAATCCCATGGGGCGCCAGAACGGTGTTACAAACTGCATCATTCAAAAGTCAACGAAAAAAGACGTTGGTAGCACCGCAGCACTAATTGCAATCGAGAAACTTTTCCCGATGCCAGATCGAAAGGACTGCGAGGACACGTGTCTGACTAGAGTCAAGGAATTGCTCCAGCATGGGCATACTGAGCTTGGTTCCAGACGTGAAACACATCAGGCAACGGTGAAAGAACTTGAGGCTTGCTCTTTATTAGAGCTGTCATGTAAGCAAGAGAAGGCGAAGGCTGACTCTAAGATCTCGAAACTTTCCAAAAAGATCAGTCGATTTGCCAAAGAGCTCGAAAGACTTGGTGACAATGACATTGCGGTAGCTGACTCCGATGTCCCCGATAGTTCTGAGGACGATAGCGACTGCGAACTTCTTAATGGACGGTATAAACTCGCAGAGAAACTCCGAAGCCGCCTTAACGAAAAGTCGAAGATACAGGCAGTACAGAAGAAGGAAGCAGAGAAGCTCTCCACTGAACTGGCTGTAGTGAAGGCCAAGTGCGAAAGTCTCGCCGCAAAAGAAGAGGATGAGCGCACCCAATATACCTACCTAAAGGTCGAGTTATCCAAGGCAAAGGAGTACTACATCACAGAACTTAACAACGCAATTGCGTTTTGCAATACGCTGGATGTTGATAGCGAGGATGAAGTGCTAGATAAGGCGCCCGTTAGCGTGGACGTAGTGAGTATTGGTGTCTAAGGGCCTGGCTTGGGGGATGGCTCACGCATACTCCGTAGGTTCAACCATGTTATGATTTGGAGGAATTCTCGAAGCGAGCTTTTCGGTTTGTGTGCATGTTGCGAATACTATGCGCCAGAGCTGATGCGGCTCGACGACGCACATGTTGAGTAGGATTCATTCAACTCGGTTTTCGGATGACGTCTTGCGTGTTATTTCCGGGAGTTTTAGGTAAATGATACCCAGGGTAGCCTTCTATAAAGTGTTTCCTTAATGAGTGATTTGTAAACGAATGATTCTAGTTATATAGGTTCATTATAATCTAGTTCCACCTCTTGTCCACCTCTTGTCCACCTCTCGTCCACCTCTTATCCATCTCTTATCCACCTCTTATCCACCTTCCATCCACCTCTTATTTACCTTATATCTATATCTTATCTATATCTTTCTACTTTTCTATTACTAGTAGATAGATAATAATTCTTTAGAGTACTATTCTAAATCTAAAAGTAATACTCTAGATAACTAGTAGTCTTCTTTAGTAGCTCTAATATTTAATCTCTTACTAGAGTTATCTATATCTAATAGTTAGTAACTAGAAGATATATATAGCTTTTAGAGATAATAGATAGCTTTCTAGAAGATATTTCTATAGAAATAATAATAATATTTATTAGAACCTAGCCTTAGATATAACTATATCTATATATATCTTAGCTAACTTAGTTAGAAGGTAGTATAATAGATAGTAAATAGTTATATACTAAATAGATTAGCGTCCCTTTATATATATATATACTCTTAGATTTCTACTAAGAGAGTTTAGTAGTAATTTATTCTATAATAGAATATACTCTATTATTCTATCTAACTATACTACTATCTAATAACTCTATTCTTATATTTAAATTACTTTCTATATAGTACTATAGTTAAGATAGTCTAACTAGAACTAAGAAGATTAATATAATCTACTATAGAGATAAGTAATACTATATTAAATAATAGAGATCCTCTATAATTAGTATTAAATCTAGCTATTTCTAACTAAGAAGTAGAGATAT